TATATACTACACACACACACACACACATATATATATATATATATATATATATATATATATATATATATATATATACTCGTATTGGGTGTGTGTGTGTTGGCATTGGTCCATTTGTGTTGTATTCGTAGTGTTTGTATATATGTCAATCTGGTTATGATGTGTAGCGCTATATAACTATGTAATAGGTATGAGAACTTCAGCTTGGTAGCGGCTGTGAGGGTTACCGGTGTGGCTGCTAATGCACATCAGGAATGTTTACAGCCGCTCATGAAGTGTATGTTGGTGATAGGTATTTCTATTATAGTGGTCTAGGGTTTTAAAGTTTTGTCCGTCCATCATTCATGTCACGTGGGTCATGCCTGAGCCATGAGATGGCGATGGGCGATTAACATTCTTGTTCTTAAACGGTATGTATGAGTCGTGTGTTCTTTAGACCAACAGATGGATATGAAAGTATGCCATTGAGTGATAAGTGTTCATATATGTATGAGTCGTGTGTTCTGTATTTAGACCAGCAGATGCGTATGAGAGTGTACCATTGTATAATTAGTGTTTATGTATGAGTGGTTCGTGTGTTCCATATTTAGACCAGCAGATGCGTATGAAAGTGTGCCACTAATTGATTCCTGTACATGTTATCGATGTGAGAGGATTTCAGTATTTTTAAAGTCACGTGTGTTGTTCGTGAGTCATGGATTGAGTAAAGAAGGTATCATTCCCGTATGAGCAAGTAAGTAGGTCAGTAAGTAGGAAACTAAGTAGGTTAGTAAGTAGGAAGTTAAGTGGGTAAGTAAGTAGGTAAGTTAGTAGGTAAGTAAGTGGGTAAGTAAGTAGGTAAGTAAGTAGGTAAGTGTATGCGGGGCTGTTGGAGAGTTTATTTGGTCTTGTTTGCGTGCTATGAACATCCTGTCATGTGTGTTCTAGTTGAGTTTGTTGGTATGTATGTGATTTATATAGGAGTGGGGTGTCAAACCCTAAAACCTTAAAACCATAAACCACCAAAACCCTGAAGGATATCAGAATCAGAGTATTTTAGGGTTTAGGGCTTATCAAAAATTTTAATACACCAAGTATTAGTCCAGGCTATCAGCACGGATTTACTATACTTTGCTGGCAGAAATATTTAGGCCTGATTTTTGTCATCACACAAACCCGATTTTGTCATTCCACAAACCCGATTTTTACCATCCCACACACCCGAATTCACAAATACGTTTTCGCTCACCTACGCTACCATATCAATTACCAGGCTTTACTGAAGCTGTCGGACTCGCTCGCCGTGCAAGAAGTGCCCGCCAAAAGCAGTCTTGCACCAAATATGGGAATGGGAGATGCGTCGTCTGTTAGATCAAAGTCTACTGTGCGGGGATCAAATGCGACAAAACGTACTGGTCTCAAAGTGGACAACGCAATCAAACGTGTGTCTACTGGTATGTGTGTGGTCCAGGTGCATAGAGGAATATAACAGTGTATTTGATACATTCACAATCGTATATACTATATACATGCACACAGATACGTAGATATATATATATATATATATATATATATATATATATATATATATAGTTAATTAACGTTAAC